GAATTGAACGCGCGTTCAATTTTTTAACGCGGACCCCGCGTTAAATCGGTTTTCGGACACACAAAGGGATGCTACTGTATTATGGGTGGTTACTGCTGCTGATCACCGCTGCTCGGCTCAGGTCCACTCACTGTTGGCCCTCCTAACTCATTCTGGGCTCTGCTACATCTAGATTTGGCTGTACCTTCGAGTTATTCCCACCAGTTCTCTACCGTGTTTTGGGGCAGATGGTGCTGATACCTCGTGCTCAGGTGAAGGCATTGTAGCACCAACAACTGCAGACTATGGATAGTATGCGATTAGGGGGCGGCTGCTGTCTGTTTCTGCACCAGCAGACTGCTGTTGAAAGCGGCCCGCAACTATTACAGCAGTCTCGGTAGACTATCGATTGGGCGATAAAGGATGATGGTGGTGCAACTAGTATAGTTATTGGCACTGTTGTGGTGCCGCACATGCTGCCATATTCATCAAGTGGTGGGCAGCTAACCCTCTGCCCCGAAGTATTGCTGAGTTACTTAAGGGTGTTGTTGCAAACGCGGCTAGACGTTGCAAAGCAATGGGCTGCTGTTGTTGGACAGGAGTGAGGTCGCTATTGTTTTCAACAGTAACGCCAGACTGTTGCTACAGTGGTTTATAGGGGCCTAGAGTGTTGGTCGGTGTTCCTTGAGAATGATACTGTTAACGGGAGTTTCGCCATTACTACAAGCTGGTTCTTAAGGACCTGTCATGCAACAGAACGCTGATGTTACTAGGCAGTGAGCACTGTCACAGTGGGAGATTAGAGCTGTAGCAGCGCCCAATACATTGCTAAGTGTCGGATCCTGCCGTCCGAGCTTGGATCAGGTGGGCCGTTGCTTTGATCGCGCCTTGTTGTAATGCTGCGTTTTCAGCCGCTATGCGAGCCACATCCAGTTGAGCTGGACTGCAATCACTGTGCTCGTAGAAGAACACAAGGGCGTGGTCTATTTGAATGACGTGTTTCTAGACTTCGCATTGTGCCTTTCGTCGGCAGCATTGTCGTGCAAATCATTCGCCAGTGTTGGGTATAAAGGCGAGGGACTAATCACCCCGACTAGTTGTCGGGTTCCCTCCGAGGATGCCCTCGGGATAGTCGAGCTGTCGAATACAAGCCACAACAAACTTCCCCACTACTGGGTGCGGAGCTCATTTGGGGGATTCGAGAAAATGCAGATGTGAGGAAGGAGTTGCGCGCGTGCGAACATACGATCGAGCAAGAGAACGAGGGGACAAAGACCACTCAGAGTAAACGACCACGTGAAATTTTAGAATGAAAGATTCTGAAGTGGTCTGAAACCGCTGAATTGGGCTGAAGACACTTCAGGTCGTTTCAAAAGTTTCGGGTGGTTTGAAGGACAAGTTTTATGTTTTTTTTTTTTTTTTTTTCTGCCTATTTTTTTAGCTACTTCATGTCATTTGAGGAATTTCAGGTAGGGATCTGAAACCGCTGAAGTGGTTGAAGCTTCTGAATGGGGTTTCAGGTACCCCCGTCCAAATAGTTTGATAGGGGTACCTGAAACCCCTTTCAGAAACTTCAGCCATTTCAAGAGATTTCAGGAATTTCATCTGAGGACCTAAAACCGCTGAAGTGGCCGACAATTCTGAAAGGGGTTTCAAGTACCCCCATCCAAATGGTTGGATGGGGATACCTGAAACCCCTTCCAGAAGCTTCAGCCACTTGAGGTCATGTCATAAATTTCAGGTGGGGACCTGAAACCGTTGAAGTGGCTGAAGCTTCTGAAAGGGGTTTCGGGTACCCCCATCCCACCATGTGCAATGGATCAACTTGAAGTTGTTGAACTGCCTGAAGGCGGTTTCAAATAACCCCATGTATAGATCTACACACAATCCAAAAGTGTAGTAACCTAAAGCGGTTGAAATGCCTGAAAGGAGATCCGAAAATATAGGCACCCGTTAACCATCTCTCACAAAAAGTGGAGAGAGGAAGGCACACAGAAGAATTAAAGGGGAAGTGAAAGTAAAAGCAGGGAGAGTGCACCTGGACTAGGCCGATTTAAGGAGTAAGTGAGGGGCGGTTATAACCGCGCGCGCCAGTATTAGGATCGAGGCAGTCTATAACATTCACCATCGTGGGGATGATCCTCATGTTACCATCATGAGTGTTCAGTCCCTCGTGCTCATCTTGCGTAACGTGCCCGCCCGCTTTCGTCGGTTTTTCAGCAAAGCTTTCTCTTTCCGCTACTCACCTGCATCCGTCACGATCGTACTGAATGTCTCCATGTGGCGGTCGTCCCCATTGTGATCGTGATTGATGTGCTCATTAACATTGCTCGGGGGTTCGGGATCGTCCCTACAAGTGATGTTGGGCCCGCCAAAGTAAACAAAAGGCCGCATGAACGTGGACGAGAGGTTGGTCAGGTGCGCCATGAAAGAAGAAGTAAAAAGAGAGGTTGTTAAAGTAGAAGTTGGGAACAAGGTTGAAGATGGGGGAGGTGTGGTGAAGGCGAGATACGTAGAACAGAGAAGAGGAAGCTTATCGACATAGCCCCGACGTTAAGACTGACGGTGTATCTTGTGCAGTTCCCACGGAAGATTCATTCTCATTTTTGCATGTCTGACGAGTGGTAGAGTCAAGACTCCAGATCATCACAACATCCTCTTCCTCGCGATTTTGGTCGTGCTGATTTCCCTTCTAATATAGTGTTGTTCGCAGTGCTCACCCCCAAGCTCGTGCTCGACAAGAGGATCGTCGTGTTGAGGCTCGTGGGTGCAAGCGTTGTGCATTCTTCTTCTTAACAGTGGTCATTTTCCTACATAATAATCCCTGGTTAGAAAGTTGTGGCCATTCCTGAGATAATAGAAATGAGGTAGAAGCTTAGTTGTTGGCACCTACTCGGTTGTAGTCATCGAAGAGTGTGATAGTGCTTATCTCTTTCCAATTATCCTTCTGCTGTAGCAGTCTCCATCTTCGATGTTTACTAAGGTTCCGGTCATGACCATCCTTTTCGTTTAGCTATGGCCGTTCTTAGTGCAAGGTGGTAGTGCTGCTACCTACCTAACGAAACTTAGCAGAGACAAGGCAGTTGTAGTAGCAGCAGGAGAGTTAGCCTGGGAGCTTGGGCAAGGGAAAGAGAGAAGGAGAGAGTGAGAGGGAGGTGAAACAAAAGGAAGGAAAAGGAGAGGGCGAAAATAAGAAAAATTGAAGGGGTCGTTTAGCTGCTCATAGTTGGTGAAGTGGAGCAAATTCGTTGATCTTGTTAACAAGCGAGGACCTGGCCGATGTAGCAAGGGTTGACAGACTGAGACTTTCCTCTTGATCCTATAGGTGGTGAGGCAAGATCACTCTCAGTTAGTAAAGTGACTTGGTTGGCTAGTATGGTCGGTAGCTGAAAAGAGTATCATTGTTAGGCAGGACACTTTCGAGCATCAGTAGTTTGTTTATCTTCAAATACCCTTGCTGTGTTTTCGGGCGAGCTGCGGCTACTTGGGTTACAATTGTTGTAGACGATGACAGGCTGCCGCAGTTAGAAACACGAGGGGATGCCACTGTATTATGACTGGTTACTGCTGCTGATCACCGCTGCTCTGCTAAGGTCCACTCACTGTTGGCCCTCCTGAATGATTCTGGTCTCTGCTACATCTAGATTTGGCTGTAACTTCGAGTTATTACCACCAGTTGTCTACCGTGTTTTGGGGCAGATGGTGTTGGTACCTCGTGCTCTGGTGAAGGCATTGTAGCACCAACAGCTGCGGACTATGGATAGTATGCGATCAGGGGACGGCTCCTGTCTGTTTCTGCACCAGCAGACTGCTGTTGAAAGCGGCATATAGCTATTAGAGCAGTCTTGGTAGACTATC